TTCTATACGGATTGTAAGGAAGATTTAATGATTTTACAAAAATAAAAAAAATAATAAATTTGTTGCCTAATATATAATAACAATAAAACATGCCTAATATATGTAATAATACATGCTTAGTTTAGTCAATCAAATTATATTTTACCTACAAAATATATGTTAGTTGCTCTTCATAAATTACCTATTATTTGTACATATATCTTATAATAATAAAATGTGCCAAATATATGTAATAATACATGAAAAATATATTACCTACTAAATAAAAGAATGTTATTTGATTCAACATTAATTTACCTACAAAATATATGTTAGTTGCTCATCATAAATATATATATATATATATTTATTTATTTATATATTGAGCTTATGGTAGTACTATATACATTTGAACGTGTATATAAATATATGTGTGTGTGTGTGTGTGTGTGTGTGTGTTGGGGGTAATAATATGTGTAATAACTATTTGTTCATTGTAATTAAGGTGAATAATTACATTTATTGAGTTATTTTGAATATTGTGGTACAAGTTGTAAATATCTTGTAACAATAGGTCAATTATTTTTCTACTTGGCAGTCATTTTCAAATTTGGGTTTTATTTGGAAGTTTATAACTAAGTGGGTTTTTGTTTAGAAAATAAAAGTTGTAAGGGTCTATATCTAAAGAACCCTTATAAATACACCACAGTGATGCTGAATCCGTTATATTTTATGGGTTTAGCTACATTTACATCTTGCAATGCATAGCTAGTTGTATTGTATGCATTTTAGTATTGTGATTCAATGATTGATATTACTAACCATGCATATAAAATGAAAAAAGAGCCAAACTTTATAGCCCTGAAAAGAAGGGTATTCATTGGAGGTTTTGTTGCTTTGTGATTGAAATATTGAAGAAAGTGGGGTTGGTAGGTTGGAAAATTCAGAAAACAATGAAGAGGTTTTATTTATTTTCTATTTTTTTAATTGTTAACCAGGACACTAAGATATATATTATAGCTCTGCATTATACAGTTCTAGTACTGATATTTAAATGATCAATTTGAAAACCCAGGTTCTAGGAATAATGTAGTTTCCAAATTTCACTGGCATCGAGAGAGTTGGTGGTTTTGGAGTTTTGGTTCGAATCGAATTAAGGTGGCTAATATTGCATCAGTCTTCCAAATTGCCTACCAAGCCAATGATGGGTAACTTGATGAAAATGTGGCTTGAAGAGGAATAATAGGTAACTTTAAATTCTTTGAAATAAAATTGAATTTTTGGAGGGAAGAAGAAAAACAGAAGAAATGTCGTATTGAAAGCAAGTTGGTTTAATTGGATTAATAGTCTATGCAGGTGATAGAGTAGTCGGAATTCAACCAAGCGTAAGGCTACTATTTGGTCACATGGCTTGCTATTGGTACCACTAGATGATTGCTATTTAGAGGAACATAAGGGCAAGCGTGGATGAATAAAAAATCTTTTCATCTAACTCATCAAGCACGTAATACGAGAAAGACAGAGGAATAAAAATAAACAACGATTGTATTTGGTAATATACTGAATTTACCTTGAATAATTGAGCTCAAGCTTGCCCACATGTTTCAAGATATATTTCAACGTTCCATTTTCCTGTTCTTTTTCTCGATTGTTATACCAGAAGCATTGATTGGGCATGCAGACTAATGATTCAGCCAGAGATTGAGAAATTGAAAATCAAGCATTTGATGATGATAATCATCATCATGAATGCAATGACGTGGCATGCAATGGGTGTGTGACAAATCCGGGGGCAGTTGGTCCTTAGATGTAGGAGTTTAGGATACATGTTGACCTTTCTATATAAATCCAAAAACAAATGGAAAATTATCAATTTCATGCACACGTCTAACTGTACCACGTCCTACCACCCTTATTATTTGAGGATTGAGGAGGTCGTGTGTCTGCAGAAAGAAAAAAAAATCCCAAAAAAAAAAAAGAAGAAAAAAGGTCACATGTGTGTGGAAAAAATGACATTGTCTTTGACAATTTTTATTTTCTTCAGACGATTTCACACACACACAATCACATAGTATTTAACGATGCTTGATTGGTCATTACTTTTATTTATCTATCCACTTACATTGAACTAGACTACTATCATGGTCAATGGTTGATTTATTGACTCAGCAACATAGCAGAATCCTATTACTGACTTCCAACTCTCAAATTCTGGTTCATTCTTTGACAGGAGTATTTGGCATCCGAGACGGAAAAGCAATAATACCTAGGCTCGTAACATACATAGAGTGTTGGGTTTTCAAACCCAAGATGAGTTGTCCTAAGACTATTGAGAAATATAGTCTTCAAGGATTAAATTGTTTTCCCAATTAGAGTTAGTTTTTCAATTGGAGAAAGATTTATAACTAGATTCTAATTAGGATTAATAATCCTTATTGGAGAAGACCTTTATTATGTCTATATAAAAGGGCTACTGTACTAGTTTTAAATGGGAGCAAAACAGTATTTGTATACCACTTAAGGGATTAGAGTGAGAGAATATTGTAAGGGGAAAGTGCGTCCGAGAGAAAATATAAGATTGTATTTCTTGTTCTTATTCTTTTAGGTTTTTTGTCAAGTCTTAATCCTATAGGCTTGGCAAGATTATTGGTTGTACTCATTATTGATATGGTGAAAGTTTGTTGTTGCTGTCTCGTGGAATTAGACATATATAGTCGAACCACGTTAATTTTTTGGTGTTGTATATCTTGGTTATTTGTTTTTGATTTCTATGTTTGTTATGTTTTTCCCATTCTTAAACGCGATATTCTCAACAAGTGGTATCAGAGCCTAGTTTAGCTGATATCCGTTTAGAATGGAAGATGCAATTATGATGAAACTCACCCGCTCCAACTGGGTTACATGGAAATCAAGATTGGAGGACATGCTTTATTGTAAAGATCTCCATGAGCCGATTAAAGGTATTAATTGCAAGCTAGCAAGTATGTTTGGTGCCGATTGGACCAAAATGAATCGTAAAACTATTGGTACGATTAGACAAAGGGTGGATGAGAGCATCTATTAGCATGTGTCTAAAGAAACTGATGCGCAAGCTCTTTAGAAGAAGTTAGAATCCTTCTTTAAGAAGAAGACTGCTATCAAGAAAACATTCCTTATCAAAGAGCTTGTCAATATGAAGTATGTGGAAGATGTTAGTGTAACCGAGCACTTGAACAACTTTCAGAACGTGATCATTCAGGTGGCCACTGTGGTTTGAATATTGAAGACGAGCTGCTAGCACTATTGTTGCTAGGATCCTTACCAGATAGTTGAGAAACCTTCGTCGTAATTGTAAGTAATTCGACTTCTAATGGTGTACTGTCTATCGACGTTGTTAAAGATAGCACGTTTAATGAAGAAACAAGGAGAAAAGCTTCAGGTGCAAACGCTGGACAACTCTTTGTCACAGAGAAAAGAGGCAAAAATTTTGGTGAGATGAGATTCAGTGGCGACCGTCACTATTATCGGAAAAAAGGGTCACATGAAGAAGCATTGTCGTAAATGGAAAAAAGGAACAAAAGGATGAGAACAATATTGTAGGTGTTGTGACTTACGATGAAGAGCATCTTTGATGCAGATGAACGATGGTTGTGGCAAATAAGTCTATAATTGCCTTTGCTAAGGACGAGAGTAGTTCAATCAGGAGGAATCTGGTCATGAGTGGTTCAGTCAGGGGAGCCTGGTTATGAGAAGTTCGATCAATAGGGGTTTGATGAAGAAGAGCAACCATATTTTGGTATAACTTCCTCATGGTCTGGAGGGGGAGATTGTTGAGTTTTCAAGCCCATGATGAGTTGTCTTAAGGCTATTGGGAAATATAGTCTTAGAGGATTAAATTGTTTTCCCAATTGGAGTTGTTTTCCTAGTTGGAGTTGTTTACCCAATTGGAGTTAGTTTTTTAATTGGAGAAAGATTCGTAACTATCCAATGAGGATTAATCATCCTTATTGAAGAAGACCTTTGTTATATCTATATAAAGAGGCTATTGTACTTAGGGATGGGCAAACGGGTAGAGGAACCGCGGGTTGGGGAAAGTAATGTAGGTTCAGGGCGGGTACGGGCTGGTTCCAAATATTGTAGAGAGTAAATGAGGCGGGGCGGGGCGCTATCAAATATGGGGCGGGCCAAGTCCTAATCCTTAGAAAAACGAGGCCCTGGACCGACCCGTTTCTAATAGTAATGAACGGTTGAGATTAAACGATACCCTATCATCTAATCTCAACCATTAATAGTCGACATCTCGTGTGTCCAGGTTTCACTTCCAGATTCAGTCACTCACTCCAATCTCCATCGTCTTCTTAAACTCTATCTCTCTCTTTCCCTACTTGAGCGCCAACTCCTGCTTGTGAACCTACCAAGGTAGCCGATTTGGGTCGCCAGAGCTTTGGCGAGGTTGAAGATGTTCTTATTCTTTTAGGTAAGATTGTATTTCTTATTCTTTTAGGTTTTTTGTCAAGTCTTAATCCTAAAAGCTTGGTAAGATTATTGGTTGTACTCATTATTGATATGGTGAAAGATTGTTGTTGCTGCCCATGAACGTAGGCATATATAGCCGGAACACGTTAATTTTTTGGTGCTATATATCTTGGTTATTTGTTTTCGATTTCTGTGTTTGTTCTATTTTTCTCATTCTTAAACACGATATTCTCAACATAGTCATTCCTTGTAGACAAATCACTGATTGATTGACATGCGTACATTAAGTTTTGTTTTTCTACACTTTATGAATCAATTTGATGCGTCCGACCGTAATTTGCAATTAGATTGCATCCATCGGGTTAAACACGATATTCTCAACACAAAGTCATTCCTCATAGACAAATCACTGATTGATTGACATGCGTACATTAACTTTTGTTTTTCTACACTTCATGAATCACTTTGATGCGTCCGACCGTAATTTGCAGTTAGATTGCATCCATCGGGTGCATGTAGGGTCAATTAAAAAACATACTTTTGCTTGACCAAAAAACAAAAGAAAAAGAACAAAAAACATACTTTTGTTAGAATAAAATGTTTACAATTTGAAAAATAGCAGATGCTATACGTCTTTACAAATCCACCGTAAAACTACGTTTCCATTATTGACTGTTGATGACGAGGGCACCATCAAAGAAAATGAACACGAATCATAACAGTTACCCACCTCTGCCTGGATAGAAAATCTACTAACTGTAAGATGTGGATCGTCTTGTGTGGGCACGGAAACAAGAAAAAAGCTATCATCTTCTATTTGAATTACTTCGGCTTCTTACGCATTCCCATTCGTGATCTGGCGTATCTGGGATTCTTGTTAAGCAAAACTGGTACAATAAAAACCAACAAATCCGAGGACCGGAAAGGTAAAAGCAAACAAAACAAGAGGCGAGATACTACAGGATACTCTAATCTCATGCCTTCGCCAGTTGTTGAAGAGTAGAGAAATGTGCCTTGCAGACGACTCAGCGCTCCAGTTGAGCAGGCAGTATCCTACAAATATAGGGCAAGGCATATAATTAGAATCACAAAGCACGTCTAGGAGGTTTTGCAATCAGGGAATTTGGACATTATACTGGTAACCAACACTTCTATAAGACTATAACATACCAGCGATAAACTCATACTTCAAACATCAGACACAGAAAGCGACAATAGAACAAACATCAGACACAGAAAGCGACAATGGAACAAACATCAGACACAGAAGGCGATAATAGAAGTATAGGATTACTTTCAATTTCCCAATGTTATCTACAAATGTTAAGCTAAACACGACTCAAATCAATGCTATTTACATCTCACTAAGCTCCCTCTTGGAAAGACCGCATAATTAGTGTTATTTTTAAGTTGGATGATAGCACTAAAAAAGTACCTGAAAATCAACAAAGGCAACTGGAGCTCCACATGTGCTTTGCATCTTCAATTTTATGAACCCAGGGCACCTAACAAAAACAATTAAAAAAACACCACAAGTATTACAGATTATACAGATGAATGTAGATGACAAGAAAGTATAGCTATTAACCTTGAAAACACTTGAATTAGCTCTTGCTCCGTACATGTTGGCCCCAAGTTAGCCACGAAAAGTGTTGGACATGGAGTATTATTTTGTGGAAAATGCTGTGCTGAAGAATTATTCTGCCAAAGTAAATAAGAGCCAACAACATTCACAAATAGATTACATTTCATGCATATTATGTAACACCTATGTTGAAGAGAGTGGGATTACAGATGAAAATATGCAAATTGACAAAACACAAAATGATGCACAAAATCCAAGTTCGAAATCCATTATTTAAAATACTGAGGCTACAATGGAAGTTTCTTATATTACAATACAATGTGCAATAGGATGTACTCAATAATATTTTAAGGTACAATGGCCTTTTATTTCCATAAAATAATGTCTTGAAGTGCAGCACTATAGTTAAATGCACACACTGTGAAACATGGAAGTGATACACAGAAGAGGAGCATGTATTTATCCATTCACAGCCACCCAAAGAGAAACGCAGCCCAAGTAAAAATTTTGGAGAGCAAGATACTCAGTTACGATTACAACTAAAATCTGACTGAACTGCAGCTAAAACCTCCAATATGGAAAGAGAAAAAAAGACGGGGGTTGGCCAAAAAAGAAGGTTAATGCCTGACAAGATATATATGATATTGCTTAAAAGAATGGAACATGTATATTATGAAAGCAAAAAAAGAATATCAAAGAAAATATTGCATGACCATCTTCAAGAATTAAAAACTGACTTGAAAATTAAACTGCTCTGAAAAATTGAGTACAAGTATTGAAGAGAAACCATACCATGTTTGGGGCTATTGTCTCGTGTACAGCTCTGTCATTGAAGCTGCCATGAATGAATAGCAAAGAAAACAATAAATGAGTACAACAAGTTCAATAGATTTACTAATGTGGTTATTTCAGAAAGAAAATACTATACTCCAACTTCATGGAACAGGGCGTCCAGAAACTTCTTTTACCATGCCCTTGGCGTTTCAGCTAGAAGTGATATATTTTAGAATAAACTATGTGCTGATTATTGAGCTAATTGTAGTAACTTCATGTGAAAAAAACGTGTGCTCAAGCAGTGCAGATGACCTTGGTGCAGATGGATAACCAATCATGTTGTAAGCAGAATTACCCATTCCAGGCACGTGAATGCTGCCAACACCTGCTAGTGTCCAAGCGTGCAAAACATGTGCAATGTGAGCTATTAGATCAATGTGTCCTCCATGTGACTAAGTAATAGTTTCTGATCTCAGAGACCAGACAATCATCAAACAGATTATCATCAAGACAATCGATTATACAGAGAAGTAAGTGAGATAGCATAATGTACATCTGGATAATTAATGACATAAACAACTGCAGACAAGGAATTCGCATGGGGTAAATCCCTTAAACAAGTAGTTACAGACAATCCTCTTACCAGAATCAGGAGTTCCCCTAGAATATGACGAACTTCTAGCTCTCTTATCTGAGCTAGGTCTTTCATCATCTGCAAACAACGATTGACAATAGCACAGATTGCAATTCCAATCCAGTTAATACTGAAATAAAACAAAAGGACAAAGAAAGTGAAAAAGCACAAAGAAATCGACCTGTTCTTGAGCGCTTTGACCTAGAATTAGATTTTGCTAGATCAATATATAGTTTTGATCCCTTCTCAAGATCAAACACCATTCCCTGCAAACAAGGATCATGATCAACAGCTCTCAGTTAATGTTTTCACATTTTCTTCTGCGCACCTAAATTTCGCATAAAAAGCGGAAAACCTGCCGACTAAAAAACCTATGCAAACCACTACCAAAGAACCTCCATCATCCACAAATAAATAGGTATAAGTGATTCAACCCTATGCTAGGCTCTTCAGCCAAGTAAATGAAAAGTGGATAAATATTGGCTACATTACCATAATTGTAGATTGCAACCAACTTACAAGTAGAATGATTGTCCGGAAGATAATTTTAAACAGCAAAATACCAATTTATACAGTCCGGTTTCCACAGTGTCAACGTGGCAATGCAACCAAATATAGTACAAACACAATGTCTACTCACAGATATCCAAATTTTACATCACCGAATAATGCAAGATACTAACATTCAGCGCATGCATTGCTCCAATGGCAGACTGCTGATCTAAGAACACCGCGAAAGCAAAAGGCTGCATCACCAAAACATCATGTCAGCTAAAAAAACAACTTCCGGATCATTAAAACCAACACATTCAATTCCAATTCAAAATTCCCCAACTTCCCAATGAAAATATCTGAAAATTAAGCATTAAATTTATTGAATTCCTATTGGTAACGCTGTACCTGAGACTTTCCGGTGGGGGTTCGGAGGTGGGAGGACTCGTAACCCGGAAACTCGCGGAAGAGGTTGTAGATTTCGCGGGGCTTGACATCTTCTGAGAGACCGGCGATGAATAGGGTTCGGAGCTCGTCGTATGAGGGTTGGGGGATCCGAGGGGCAACGTAGGAAGCGAAAGGTGGTGGCTGTTGAGGGAAGTAGGGCTGAACCAGGTAGTGCTGAGGCGGTGGCGCCAGCACTGGGGGCGGTTGAGGTGGCGGGGGTTGTGGGTGGGAGGTGTAGTCAACCGAGCCTGGTGGTGGAGGCGGTGGCGGGTAATAGGCAGCCATGTCGTCCATTTGAAGCCCCTAGTAAATTTGGGTCTCGGTTTTGTGTGTTGTGATATAGTAGCTGCAGTGTCTTAAGTTTCAGAGGTGGGCTGGGCCTGAAAGTTTGGAGCCCAAATATGCTATATATGTTTTTTTGATAAATATAATTTATTTTCTTAAATAGGGACAAAAGACTCGAACTTGGAAGTGGAGGATTAAATTGGAATCAAACTCATCATTCACATACTTTGAATCTAAAGCATCTCATTTATAAAGTGAAGATAAATACGATTAAAACGTTAGTACTAAGTGGCAGTTTATTTACTCTTTGTCGAAAGAAACAATGTATGTCCATTTATGGGAGCCACCAAGTTGTTGGTTAACGAGAATTGGGATCAAGCAACGGTCGAGATGGCCGAGCACGCAGCCTGAGTGTGGATATGGATACTTCAGTTTAAAATGGCACAAAAAGGGAAAAGGGTCCTTGCCAGATCTCTTTTCTGGGAATCCAGTGATTGTGACCGTTCATTGTATATCGTGTGGTCAGTTTTTGTTAATTACTATTTATATTTAATTTTAAATTTTAAATTTTAAATGATTTATGATCTCACAATATACAATGAACGGTCATGATCACGAAATCACCGGGATCCTCAGGAAAATGATTCGGCGAGGATCATTTTCCCACGAAAAGTTTAAATTTGATAAAAATAGGCAATTAGATATAAATCTTAACGAAAATTGATGAACTGAAAACAATGAGAAGCATCGTCCCGACTAAAACAGCAGCGTGACGCTTGCAATAGCTGCAAGGATACACAACTGATTTAAAGCTCATTTGGATATGCTTTTAAAATGACTGAAAACGCTTTTGGTGAAAATGTTTTTAGAACCAATCCTTAGTAAAAATGCAAATAAATCCTGAAAAAGCAATTAAAGTGTTTCCTGGAAGCAGCACGTAATTGGTGTTTCTTGTAGAAAACACTTTAAATACTTTGGGAATCCAAAAACATTTTCTTTAAAAGCGCTTTCAGTCATTTCAAAAGCACATCCAAAGACGAATTTGAACCACATTATTGTTAACACATTGTGAGGGTATGTTCACTCCTCTCCTTAATGTAAATAATAACGATTGTTAAAATAAAAAAATAAAAAAAATAAAAAAAGCACATCCAAACGAAAAATTACAAAACGTCCGTCCCAGCTGAACGCGCTTCATTCAGTTTGCCACGAATCTTGTTGCCGACTATTTGCACACAACGCAGCCCCTTCAGTTCATCACCTCACAATAAATTCTATCAAATCCCAATCATCCCGCCATAAGTTTTATCTGCAAAACAGTAGTACTGCACGTACCGAGAGTGTTTTTGACTTCCAGGTACCAACTGGTGTGGCCGACCAAATGGTATTACCTTACCGCCCTCTTGGTCGCCTGATGACCACAGATTCGTGGTCACCCTCGTTGGATTTGAGATCAAGGATGAAAGTAAAATAATTCATTCTCCGACCCTGATAACCAGTCCAAGGGAGAGTGAGCATGAAATTCATAGTGAGGGCAAATGCGAACAAATGAAACACCACCGGATCAACTGGTATCATAAAATTTGAGAAACATTTGCTTCATAAATACACGCAATCAAAGCCACAAATGACAACTCTCATAAATCAACACAATCGGCATAGTCTCAACACTTAAGATTGTGTTTCTCATTGACACGACTCATGAGTATCACCGGTCACTCGTACTAGTGTCATTCATTAACACAAGTTAATCCAAATGATTACAGAATATAAATTCAACTTTGTAGAGTACACATGATGCTAACTGAAACTGCTTATAACTTCCAAACAACAATTTTTGACATAAGCAGTTTTTAACATTAAACAAAAGGCAGCAACCGACAGTTACCAAAGTACCGGGACTTTCTTGGACTAGAAGGCCAATTTTGCATCAGACAAGAGGTGGGTATTGCCTTGACTGCTGCCGAACCCTCTTCTTGTACTCTGTGGCATCCTGCATCAAGCCAAATTGAAGAGTATAAGAACAAGAACTTAAGCAAACATAAATTACCACCTGCTAAATTCATAACAGGTGGTCTGCATTTAATCATATTGTCCCATGGCCACCCACCAACAGATAGCACAACAATGGCAACCCTTGGGTTGCAGTCACGCAGGGTGAGTTCAGATGCAAATTAATTCCCACTTCCAGGATCAGTGAAGCAGGTGTATATTATAAATACTGAATCATATGTCTAGTGGACGTCCTAATGATATTGCATAACCTCAGAAAATGTGGGAATCCATGTTTTAAAAAAAAGCGTTTTAAGACACACCTAGGCGGTCTTGGAGGACCGGCCGATGATGAACACACCGCTGCCCAATGGGAGTAGGCTATAAAGTCACCTACACGTGTTCGAGGCGCGCCTAGGCGTTCGACTGGGCGTTTGTTTGGTTTTTTGTTTTTAACTACCCAAACCCAAAATGATGTCGTCTTGGGCAGGGTTTTTTAATTAAAACAGAAATCAAGGAATTGGAACTTGTCCTCTTCCTCTTCACAGCATAAATTTGTAATTTTAAGGTTAGGGTTTCTCACCTACAGTGAAGAATTTTTTTATTAGATTGTTGATTTTTCTTCTACCCTTATGCTTTCTCTTTCTTTACATTCATTACATAAACTATAGAGATTTCCCTCAAAGTTTTGTGGTGCAATGGGAAAACACAAAGTTGTTAAGTAGAAGAATACCTGAATGAAGAGGTGATACCCTTCTGTCTGTGCAGGATCAGCAGGATTTGGCTGGTCCAGCAAATCCTGAATGCCCACAAGAATTTGCTTCACAGTTATTGCTGGTCTCCAACCCTAAATATAAGACAAAGAATGCTAAGTACCATGCGATAAAAATCGCACTAAACTCTCCATGCCAAAGAAGTGGCCTCCTTATGTTGAAAGAGTTTAAACAAGAAGAAGGTACTTACACTGTCCTCATTAAGAATTGATAGACAGACAGTTCCAGATGGATATACATTGGGGTGGAAGAAACCTGGCGGGAATTTACACTTCGGAGGCTTGCTAGGGTAGTCTTCACTGAAGTGAAGTGTAAGAGGAAAGAAACCCCCCTCCCAGTCAGTCTGCAACAAAAGATTAGGAAGACAAGTGAATACCTAAAGAAACATCAAATTTTATTTCCTCACATCTACCGTCCAGTGTCCATTTCAAACTTCACTTTAAAAATAAGAAAAGTAGAACAGTGAAGGCTCCTGCTGTTAATAAATAACCATAAGGTCTGTTGCATATTGCCTGAAATACAAATCCTTTCCTTGTCGCAATTTCTCTTGAAGTAAACAAACCCTTGATATAACTACCGAGAATATAATTAATACAAACATGTTGATTGGACATGAAAACAATAACCAAAACACCTGACCTTGAAAGGGATAAAGAAAGAAAAATACAAAATAAAAAATTGATATAAAAACATTGTAGATATTAGAAAAAACCCTCAAAGAAGGCCATTCGTGCTGAGTCTTCCGCTAAAATCAACACAAGCTTCTGCATTATGGTACAAAATGTCACGAGCAAAATATACCAAGAAGATGCATAGTAATTCCATCTCACTGGTTAATAAACAAAAAAGCCTCGATTCATGCACAAGTGACTTAGCCAAAAGTTAAATAGGATTGAGAACGTCATTATTTCCATCCTAAAGTATGTAAGTGATTTATCCCTACAAATCTTTTAAACGTGTATGAAATGGCTCAAATATTTTGCAACACCATTCAAGTTAACTTATGAATCATTCTCCGTGGACCAGATCCAGCATAAAACATGAATTTGCTCACTAACTGATTAAGAAAAAAAGTAGTTCAAACAAATTTTCATTCCAGTCCATGAACCGGGTAAAAGATGAGAGTGCTCAATATGCAAACTAAATCCAAACCAAATCACGCAAGTAATATGAACACATCAAGTCACGTATGTATTTTCAACAATATATACACTAATGCTCTTCCTTCTTCAGAGAGTTTTGTGTGGCATACATCGAAACCGCGCACTCAATCATGATTTCACCTCATAAATGATACTAATTGAAAATTTAGCAATACAACACCGTACGAAACTGAGTGCCAATACAACATTACCCAACAACTATATAAGCATAAAATGACTAACTTACGGCTTTCCAGGAAAAAACTTTCGGCTACAAAAGTTTTCCGGGAAAGTTTCTGTGGTATGATAAATTAAGCAAAAAGTAATTTCTAAAAAATTTCAAACAAAATTGAGGGAAAAAAAAAACCATCTAATAGTTCATTTCCCTTTTCTCAATAATCCATATGAACTAAGAAACCCAAAAAATTGCACGCAAATTTAAAAAACACATTGAAACAGTAAAAATTAAAAGTGCAAAATAAGTCAGAGAGCTTACACCGGTCTTGCCAGGAATCGTGCAATGCCACACCATCAAATTAACCGTCCCATCTGGTAAAGTCTCCGGCTTCGCAACAAAACCCTACAACACAGAAATTAACCCAAAAAAATAAAGACCCAAATCCAGGATTTCACACAGTAATCCGGAGAGATAGAGAGGGAGTGATGGGTGTACGGACGTGAGGGTGGTTCTTCCGCCAGGCCTTGCGCTCCTCCGCTAGACGGCCGCGAGCTATACCTCCAGACATGGCGTCGCTTGTCGGTTTCCGAGTCGTCTCCTTTGGGGGTTTTTATAAAGAGCGAAAAATCAAAGACTTTTATGGCGGTGCGAAACAGCAAATGGATTGGTTGGGGTGGAAGTCTGGAAGAGGAGTTGCGATTCTCCTTCTCTGGTTTATGGGGCTTCGAATCGATTTTGTAATTTTGCATTATTATAAATGTTTTGGTCCCCAAGTCAATCAAATTGCTATTTTTTAATATTTTTAATCAAATTTTTAATACAAAAAAATATTTTTTTTCTTAATCGCCTATTTGTCAATTTGCCTTATGGATGTGTATTTAACTGCCAATTTATCTCCAAAATTTTAATTTTAAGCAATTATCTCTCTAAACTTTTCTAATTAGCCATCTTCTTTTTGAACTCTAATTTCAGTTGAATACCTTTGAATTTTTCTAAATAGTCAATTTTCTTCTAATGCTAGATTTTAAAATTTTTCATCAATTTTGACCACGTTGATAACACATGATAACTCTATAAGGATCAAAAAACCGAAAAATTGGATGGATGATGAATCTAACACTAGAGGAGAAATTGCCTATTTGTATTTTAGAGGGTAATCGGTTAAAGTTAAAATTCAGAAAAGAATAATTAACTACAAAAGTTTAGAGAAATAGTTTGCTAAAATTAAAATTTATGAAAAAAATTGACAAGTCTGTATAAATTCGGAAGAAACCTGACAAATGCCTCTTTTTTATTTTATTTTTAATTTATGTTAAATTCTCGCGTGAGAACCACGCCGTTATATGTCGTTCACGTGACCCACGCTTTATGTTAAATTCACTGCAGCCTTTTGTACGTATGGTGCCGTAACCAAGGCTCCTACTAGAATGGGCTGGGCCTTGTTATGAACCAAAAGCCCTCTAGCCCAAGATCTTTTTTACCAGTTGCAAATCCTTACATGGGCTCAATGATTGGACTATAGTTAAAGGCCTGCTACCTATTTTCTTTTCTGTTTCCCTTGTACTTCAGGGTGCGATCTGTCCTATTCCATTTAGTTTAGGCCTCAAACTGTAAGCATAATTTTGAATCAATGCAACGGACTTGGCTATGGTAAATTGCATATATGATCGTTAGACAATAAATGTATTAAGTAAATGCATGTACCGTATTCAATTCTCAACGCAAAATTATAATTTGGATTGGTTCGGTTTAGTTAGCCATAATTTCTAACATTGAATAAAAAATTTCAAGATATGGTGGTTAAGAAGACGGATTAATTGGGTTGAATAGAAGTACCTTTCATTGTAGGGCAAAGATGTGGCATCCCACATCGCCCAGGGGATGATCCTTATATGTATATTTCCATTCCTACCTAGCACGAGGCTTTTTGGGAACTTACGAGCAACTTCCCAGGGGATCACCCATCATGGGATTGCTCTAGCCCCCTTCTCTCTTAACTTCGGAGTTCCTATGGAACCCGAAGCCAGTGAGCTCCCAAAAGACCTCGTGCTAGGTAGGGATGAGAATATACATATAAGGATCTTCCCCTGGGCGATGTGGGATGTCACAATCCACCCCCTTAGGGGCCCGACGTCCACGTCGGCACACATGCGGCCAAGGTTAGGCTCTGATACTAATGTCCCACATCGCCCAGGGGATGATCCTTATATGTATATTCCCATCCCTACATAACATGAGGCTTTTTGGGAGCTCACTGGCTTCGGGTTCCATAGGAACTCCGAAGTTAAGCGAGAAGAGGGCTAGAGCAATCCCATGATGGGTGATCCCCTGGGAAGTTGCTCGTGAGTTCCCAAAAAGCCTCGTGCTAGGTAGGGATGGAAATATACATATAAGGATCATCCCCTGGGTGATGTGGGATGTCACAATCCACCCCCCCCTTAGGGGCCCGACGTCCTCGTCGGCACACACGCGACCAGGGTTAGGCTCTGATACCAAATTGTCACATCCCGGCCCAGAGGGGACCACTTCCCGGGCCCGCTCCACCACCGTATCACGATATTGTCCGCTTTGGGCTTACCACTCCCTCACGGTTTTGTTTTTGGGAACTCACGAGCAACTTCCCAGTGGGTCACCCATCATGGGATTGCTCTAGCCCCCTTCTCGCTTAACTTCAGAGTTTCGATGGAACCCGAAGCCAATGAGCTCCCAAAAGGCCTCGTGCTAGTTAGATATAGGAATATACATTTAAGGATCACTTCCCTGGGCGATGTGGGATGTCACAAAAGAGATATGGATGGAGATGAAGCCTTCATTAGTACACAACTACATTCAAATTTGACAAAATCATTACTGCAATGGAGACCCACGGACAAAAGAACTAGATTTTAGAGGTTATAATTTGCTTTAATCAATTAGATCAATGTAATCTATACTAATTATCTCACAAAAGATGCAAGAAACTTATAATTAATAGATCAATGTAATCTAGACTAATTATCTCACTAAAGATGCAAAAAGCTTATAATTAATAAATTAATAGCAGATGACGTTGTATCGTAGTGGCGGAAAGCAATCATACATATGTACCCTCATGCGGGTTCGATCTCTGCCGATCCAACAAGCTTTTGTTGTTGATTTTCCCAACTATTGCTTAACTAAAAACTACAAAACCTCGCAGATGGCGATGAAGCCTTCATTAGTACACAACTACATTCAAATTTGACAAAATCATTACTGCAATGGAGACCCACGGACAAAAGAACTAGATTTTAGAGGTTATAATTTGCTTTAATCAATTAGATCAATGTAATCTATACTAATTATCTCACAAAAGATGCAAGAAACTTATAATTAATAGATCAATGTAATCTAGACTAATTATCTCACTAAAGATGCAAAAAGCTTATAATTAATAAATTAATAGCAGATGATGTTGTATCGTAGTGGCAGAAAGCAATCATACATATGTACCCTCATGCGGGTTCGATCTCTGCCGATCCAACAAGCTTTTGTTGTTGATTTTCCCAACTATTGCTTAACTAAAAACTACAAAACCTCGCAGATGGTGCTTTATCGTAGTGACATAAAGCAATTCTGTCTAAAACTCTTAGTGAGAGTTCGATCTCCATCGATCACTATCTTATTTCAACAACAAACCATTTAGCCCATTGACAACTAACAATTTAATTCATTAACACTGTCATTTGTAGAAAAAATACAGAATCTCAATGACTTGTTTACACACACAACTAAATGCAAACCCCTTTTTTCATTAAAAAAAGGAATATTGTTTGGAAAAAAAATAAGGAGAATAGAATGACAAGAACTGAACTTGTAAGATAACCATTTCATTTTACCAAGTTCAATGTTAGTCAAATTAGTCAATATTTATATGTTTCGATGCAACAACAAGATGTTATTTGTAACAAGTAGTTTTGTTGGTTGGTTAATTGGTCAAATTTTATTCATGAAATGGATTGGGTTGGTATTAGGCTAGATACATCAAAATAATTCTATTACATATGATGTACTTATTAGATCTGATAAGTACATTTTGTCAGAATTGAAAAATTCTGGGGTTTAGGCAAAATACCGTCCATATACGATATTTATATTAGTTAATGAAAGAGCCCAATGCAAAAAAATGCATGTTGGGCCTTTGAAACAGTTCAAATCATTTTGATAATAAGAAGTTTGATCTGTTTTACCGAGAAGGCATACGGTTCGAGTCCGTATAGCCCTAAAACCTAAAAATTAAAAAAAAAAAAAAAAAAAAATAAATAAATAAAACTAGGTGGTTCTTCTTGCGGAAAAACCACCCAACCAGTAAAAGTTTCTTCGAAGTAATTTTTTACCTAGAAAAACTAGGATTTCATGGTGAGTTCTACGGCTTTCTCAATATTGCCCAAAGCGGACAATATTGTGCTACGGTGGTGGAGCGGGCCCGGGAAGTGGTCCCCCCCGGGCCAGGATGTGACAATTTGGTATCAGAGCCTAACCCTGGCCGCGTGTGTGCCGACGAGGACGTCGGGCCCCTAAGGGGGGTGGATTGTAACATCCCACATCGCCCAGGGAGTGGGTCCTGTGATCCTTAAATGTATATTCCCATCTCTACCTAGTACGAGGCCTTTTGGGAGCTCACTGGCTTCGGGTTTCGTTGGAACTTCGAAGTTAAGAGAGTAACTCGCGAGAGCACTCCCATGATGGGTGACCCACCGGGAAGTTGCTCGTGAGTTCCCAAAAACAAAACCGTGAGGGAATGGTAAGCCCAAAGCGGACAATATCGTGCTACGGTGGTGGAGCTGGCCCGGGAAGTGGTCCCCCCGGGCCGGGATGTGACACTGTATATATCTTCTTGGCACGTTGAAATATATTATCTGAACGTACCAGCCTCAAGCCTATGAAAATAAAGAATACGTCTAATTATCTCGCATGATATCAATATAAAATAGTGAAAACAACCATTAATTGAAATGGATAAGTCCATTCAAAATTCAAAAATGAGGATCATAGAATTCTAACGTTGGAGAAGAAACCATACGGCTCAAACGTGGGAGAAGAAACTAGCTTCCTAAAATAAAGGCCACGTACAGAATAGAAATATATAAACCTAAACGGATATATATGGAATTTAATAATTAACTTTTTAAATTAAAAAAAAAACACAATAATTACATGTAATCTAAATAAATATAAAAATGTTGACATGGCTATTGTTTAGGCGTCCTAATCAAATTTCAAAATAGAACCCATGTTTAATCTAAAGAGTATTAGAAAAGTGCAGAGGATTCTAATTTTCCCTATATAAAATAGATAGAAAAAGATTAAGTGAATAACTAATAAATAAATGAAATGGTTGAATAATTGAAAAATGAGATTATTCAGGAATAGCCATTGAATGCTAAGATTACGCATTGAATTTCTGATAGTAGATCTATAATATAATAAATGTTTGTAATTGTTCCAGAAGAAATGAAACAAAAGATACGGTAAAGCTAGGACAGTTACTGTTTGAGGTCTACCAAATCCTAGATGCAAAGGTACATAATAGATCGATATGAACATCATGAGCTGTCCCGTACTAAAACCGGTTGTTACTGATACTTGTCATCATGATAATTTGTAATTTATCAGCCGATGGACTTGCTCTGTACTTGCATT